ATTCCCTGTTCTTCTCTCACTCATTGGCCTGCCACAAATTCCGGATTCATTGATAAGCCCCTTCCACCTTTAAGGTGTAAAAAAAAAAAAAAAAAGGACAAATTTACTGGTCTTACATGTGCAACTGGATGTAAAATTCAGTTGCACAGTCAAATTTTGGTTGCAGTCTGGAGCCCTGCTCAGACCAGCCTGTCTGGCACCAACAACCACGCCACGCTCAAAGTCACTTAAATCAGCTTTCTTCCCCAGTCTAATGCTATGTTTGAACTTCAGCAGATTGTCTTGACCATGCATGCATTGAGTTGCCATGTGATTGGCTGATTAGATATTTAACGAGCAGTTGAAAATTTTTACCTAATAAAGTGGCTTCTAGTTATAAATGAATATTATTTGTAATATAATATTTCTTATGTTATATTAATTGATATTGTTTTATTTGATTAAATTTACTATATTTTATTGTTTTTAAATATACAGTACATATATGATATACTATATGTATTTTTTGTGGAAATTATAATTAAGATGTGTACATTTACATGTATGCAAAGAAAAATGTAAATTATTAATTTTTTTTACCTATATATATATATATATATATATATGAATGAAGAGTTCAGATGCAAAAGCCTCTAAATGCCATTTGAAATTTTCCTCTAGAATGGTCATTTTTATCAAGCTTGTATATTTAAGTTCAGTAATTTCACTTAAATGGCAATTGATAGGTAATCTTCATTGCCATTTAAGTGAAATTACTTAACTTAAATATACAAGCTTGATAAAAATGATCATTTTAGAAGAAAATTTGAAATGGCACTTAGAGGCTTTTGCATCTGAACTCTTCATATATATATATATATATATTATTATTTTCTAGTTGATGGATGCATCATATGACATTATTCCTTAAAGGGCCCCTATTATGGATTTTTGAAAATGACCTTTCATGAATTTAGTATGTAACATAGCTCTAAGTGAATGAAAACATCCTGCAAAATTTTAAAATTAAAAGTAAACCGTATTTAAAGCTATAGTCCACTCTGAATCAGTGAAATGAAACAGAGCTCGGCTGATGTATACATTGCATACATGCAATGTTATTGAGACAGTTTCCACGTGTTCACCGTAATATATTACAAAAAATACTTGGTAAATTAATTAGTAAAAGTAAAATAATGTTGTTTTTTTTTTGATGGAAATGCACTTGTTAATGCTGATGGTGAGGAATTACAGTTGCAACATCTCATACCTCAAACTGTGTATCACTGAGAAATGTCCTGCTCGAGACTCCAGTTGTCCTTGAGATGGAGGTTTGGGTTGAATAACTAGTTCTTCCAATGACAGTCAGAGCTGACGTTGTTATGGCAATGGGCATTTTGGTTTTCAACACGGTAAACCAATCACAACAGACTGAACTGTCTGGCCAATCAGAGCAGAGTAGCTCGCTGAAGGAGGGATTTAGAGAAATTGATTCGTCTGACGAGTCATTTGAGATTCATTGAAAATTAAAGTGTATTATGAGGAAATTTAATGTTTTTTGACCTTTGATGCATGTAATGCTGTTGTAGGAGACTCCAAAACAACATTAGGAAACGTTAAAATAGCATAACGGGGCACTTTAAATTAAAAGCTTTTCAAAAACATGTGAAACCGACCTGAAAAGAAAGTACATTTCTGATTCTGAGAACTTGGCACGTGTTTTTTAAATTCATTTTTTATATCGTCTCTTATTTGTCATTGACACAAATCAAATGATCAAACTCATGCACTGATTGGAAAATTTTGATTGGAAAGAAATATGTACAACCTCCCTCTTTTTTGTTGTTGATTTCAGCAGAGTGTGTGTTGTCGCTGACCTGTTTTTGTGTGCTTGTATTTGTGATGTGGCTCTGAGACAGGGTTTTTACTGGCAGCTGGCCAATGTAGAGATGCAGCTATGGGCATGCGTTCATGTCTGCGGTGGGTTCTACCGCTTACTGGATTGTGTTGTTGACACGCGTGCTGTAATCCAGCCCTGGGTAAGCCTACAAACTCCCACAGTGGGCTCAGTCCAACCACGGGTCAGTTTTGCCGCGCAACTTTACCTTTTGGCCAATCCAGAACTCCAAATGGCCAAAGCATGACTTTAGACTTGTGGGATGATTCCATCAGTCACCAAAGGATCTGAGACACTGAGTCTCAGCTGCAGGCTTGACCTTTCAGGCAATGAGAATGGGATGTCTATCACACTCAGCGAGCCTCCTGCTCCTAAACATTATCATGCTCTCTTAAAAACATTATGTGCAATCTGTCCACCCTGACCTCAAGCCAGATCGCTGAGGAGAAGTGGCTCAAATGGCAGCTGTTTGGGAACATGCTCAAAGTACAGGCTGGATTTGCACTCGTCACGGCTTCACTCAGAGATCACTCACAGTCTGTGAAAGTAATGACAAATTAAAAACCTCCCTGGCTCTTCATCACTCAGAATCAAAACTCTAAAGTATAGGATGTTGAGACGCACCACAGCTTTTTTCATTTATGGTTTAAGTACTTCCATGTTCCACAATTTGTGGTTTGATGTCTTGGCTGCTTTGTAAAAACTGATACGTGCATGTTGGGGAAAAAAAAAAAAAGAGTTGTTTCCTCGACATGCTGTCCGTGCTGTTTTATCTAGTGTTTGAATGCTTGTAAATTATGAATGAGGAGTAAAACTACATTTTCCAACATTATAAAAGGTTAAACAAAGAATTGGGTTCATTACAGAATACAAATGGATGTCCTATGTTGAATATGCCATCATTGTCATGATGATATATTTTTTTTAAAAAATTCAGTCAGTGTAATTTTATTAAATCCTTCCGCTTGAAAGTTTGCTTGTTTTGATGGCTAATTATTATTAGCTAGTTGTCTAACAACCAAATAGTTGATTAGTGAGATTCTAGACTATTAAATATTATTTTTTTCAATTGTTTTTCCAGTTGTTTTTTTACTGGTTCTTTTATTAGCAACAGCGTCCTGTGCTTTAGATATGGTTTGCATGACAAAAATCCTCTCGTAAAAATCTAAATATTCATCCCGTCTGTAGCACCATTGCTATTTGCTGTATCCATATATATTCAGATGGTCTTCTTTTGCCGTTGTGTCACGTCTCTGTGACAAGTTAAAACACTTCAACTTTTAAAAATGCAAGATGAGCATCCTTTTGAGTCATAGATTTGACTATAGTGTTGAACGTTGCATTTGCCAATTAGTATCTAGGATCTGATATATAAAACTATCTGTTTTATGATGGCCTTCTTGATGTCATCAGTCAATAGACCAAACCCTGTCAAACGCTTGTTTTCACAGAAGCTGTTACATTAGCAGCATAGCCAATAATGCTGCACACTATGCACTATATATTTTATTGCCAAAGTAGGTTAATGCTAATCTATGATGCATGATGCATGATATAATCACTTCTTGTGAAGCGGCAGACAGTCGGTCGAATTAAGAGTCAGACACAGTGAAATCATTAGTGGTTGCCTTCAAAGCCAATTGTTTTGTCAATGAAGCACAAGCTATTGATCATTTTCATTTACGTGGAGTGCTTGATCAGCTCAGAGTCGGTGTCAATAACCCGCCTCTTCAGTTCCAGCTTTGTCTATTGTTAGCCTCCATAGATCCTTAAGTTTATTATGTGGTTTGAGCAACTTATGTACACTTAGCCACGGCTCCAAACAGAATACCTGACTTGTTTGATTGGTATTCTGATCTAGTCCTACCGGGTTGGGCAGTGCTGATTCCATGCGTATTACTACAAGACTAATATCCTGTGGAAAGCAAAGTGCCCAGCACAGCGTCTTACCAGAAACATTCTGTTAAGATGGTTAATATGGCAGGCCAGGCTGTGCCAGCTCAGTGCGGAATGCCTAATGAGGATTAATATCTGCCTTCATCACAAGCAACAGCCACTGCTTTCTCTTAACTCTCATACATGATGAAGGTAGAGAGGAAATAACTACAGGATGTGAGTGTGAGAAAGTTTCTGGCCTGTTGGGACTTGTTTTTGTAATGTGTTTTTATTCTTCATGAACTTAAACTTTGGGTATTGTGTTATTGGAAATTACGTTCAAAACGTAGTAGCCATTTTTGTGAAGTTTTTAAAGGTTTGTGGTCAGTAAGACTTTTAAAAGTGGTAAAAAAAGAAAGAAAAGAAAATAACTATTATGCTCACCAAGGCTGCATTTATTTGATAAAAAAATATATAGTTGAAAACAGTAATATTGTGAAATAGTATTGCAGTTTAAATAATTTTTATTATATTTTAAAATGTAATTTATTCTGTTATGACAGCCGAATTTTCAGCAGCCATTACTCCAGTCAGTCTCACAATCCTTCAGAAATTATTCGTATAAGCTGATTTCGTGCTCAAGAAACTTTTCTTTTTATTATCAATGTTTTTTTTTTTTTTTTTGGAAATCATGATACCTATTTTTCAGGATGCTTTGATAAATAGAAAGTTTAAAAGAACAGCCTAGAAATCGAAATGTCTTTACTCTCACTTATGATCAATATATTGCATAAATATAATGTTTTATTGAATACGAATGTGTCTGGAACATTTTTGTTCACAACTAGACCATGATTCCAGCTCACTTCCTAGATTATTTGACATTAGTTTACATGTAATGTAGTTAAGCAGACTAAAGGCCAGTTAGCACCAAAAACGATAGCTATAAACATAACTTGAATGATAACTATAAAGATAGCTATAACTATATTAGCGATATCTGTTTATTCTAAGCATGTGCCTGTCTGTCACTTTAAGTGCTCGAGCTCGGTTTCTGATTGTCTGTTAGTGTTTTTATTGTTCATCAGCTGGATAAAATCATTCTAAAAGTGATTCCAACGACATCGTTTCTCTTTGCCGTTATTGTTATAACTGTGGTGTGAACTCTGCTGCTCTTTAATATTGAGAACAAATTTTTATTTATTGTGAACAGGCCTTAACTAATCGCTGCTCTGTGTGTGTTTTGCAGGACAAGTCCCCCTTATTGTTGTGTGGACCTTTATTCCTTGAGAACAGGAGAGATGGTCAAGTCCATTCAGTTTAAAACGCCCATCTATGATCTTTACTGCAACAAAAGGTGTGTTTACACACGTGTGTCCTGCACTTCACCTTGTAATCATTTTAAATGCAACATCAAGCTTATATATACTTTATTATTTTTTCCCTAACTCCATCTCCATCCCTTGATGGCCACAGGATCCTCGTTGTTAGTCTTCAAGAAAAGATCGCTGCCTTTGACAGCTGCACCTTTATGAAAAAGTTCTTTGTCACAAGTAAGTTCTTCATGTTATAGATGTGTCTGCTGAACTTGACCTTTCATGACCTTCTCTAGTCTCCGACACAACTTTTCTCTGCCTCTTTGATCTGCAGCTTCGCAAAACATGAAACCTAGTCTTGATTAATCCTCTTCACACACTGACTTCATTAAACCCACAAAACCCCACTCAACCCTTATACGTGCTGTCACACCAACGGAGCCGTTTTCCCCCGTGTCACTCCTCAGGGCTATACGATATCAAAGCTCATCCACAATCAACAGGCCTGCTTGTTTACACAAATGGCTTTTGTTTTACAATGTGTCAGAATTGGGCATTACCAGAAACTATCTGTGTCAAACCGTCATTGCGTAAACAATAAACAATAACAAACAATTGCATATTGTCACTCAGCCCAGCTCTAGCACATAAAGTGCCTTTGCCTCTCCTCCAGGCCAAACCACAAGCAAAATCCAAATGGCTTTTTTGCACTCTTGAAGGGGATGCTACTCATAAGGTCCCAACTGTCATGTGCGCACAACTGTGTATAGTTTCAGAAAAATACACAGTCCATGTCACCACGTGTAACCAGGCCTCTGCTGCCCACTTAAGCAATCGTCTGTTGTAAATTGCTATTAGCGTTGTTTTAATGGCTCTCATTGTCTATCCGACTTCCCCGTCAATGTCTGCGCCACATGAAACGGCGACGGTCAATAACCCTTTACATCATTAACTGCTTCTCTAAAGCTTCCTCTACATAGGAAGAACAAGACTTGACTTAATTTTTAAAGTAACCGACCGAAAAAAAGGGTTATTATAGTTAACTAAACCATAAAAAACTGAAACCACCAATTTCGTTACTATAATAATTTGCATTTTTGATTTATCTGAAACAAGCTGCGACTTCTTTCAAAGCGACAAAGACAATGCAACTAACACACAAAACATGTGCAAAGCGCACATTTGGATTTGTGCTAAATAAGAGAGAAATAGGTAAGACATGTATTTGTAATGTATGCGCATTACTTTAATGTAATGTGGCGCATTAACTTTATGCCCATAGTTTTAATTTGGCTCTGAATAAATTTGATTAGCCTTGCTGTTTATAATAAATGTTGTTTATATAAGGAATACTATTATAATTTATGTTCGTTTTATACTTTAAAAAAATCTGTTCTTTTCTGAACACTGTTGAGTTTAAATTATTTGTTGTGGAGTGAGGGTACATAATCATAGTGTTTATGTTTGTAAACGTTTCATTTTATTTACTGGTGTTTTACATTATTTCAGAATGTAAAAATAAGATATAAAATGTGCTTTTTTCCTCTCTCAAGAATGTAATTTATGACTATCGCGGTGTAAAAATGTAAGCGATATAATTTGCGATATACAGTTAGTTTTATCCAATGTTCAGCTTACTCTAGCTATAATTCTTACTGAAAACTCACCCTCATGTAATTTCAATTTATATACGACGTTCACTCAACTTCCAAAAACAAATGAAGATATTTTTTTTATGAAACCTGTGAGATTTCTTTCTCTCCATTCTCATTCCTCTGAAAAATGTCTAAAAGATATCGTACAAATAATCAATTGAGTGGTCTAACCCAAATCCAAGTCTACTGAAAAGACACAATGGCTTTTTATGATGAACAGATTTACAACGGCACGCATGGTAAACACGGACGTTCAAGTGCTTGAGTGACGCGCAAAAACAACATGAGAGTGAGTAAAAGCAGAACATTTTGGAGTAAACTAAACATTTTGGTGGAACTTACAGTTTGGAAATAGTCATTTTGACATGCTTACTAGATGCAATTAGAACTGTGATTGATTGCATTGATCATCTGATGCGCATATACACACGCTGGAACGGCACAGAGAGTCTATCTGTGTAATGGAAATGTCAAAAAATTCTAAACTTTAACTAAAGTTAAGATGGAAACATAATCCATTGTGGTTTTTGAGTTAGGTCTTCTGTCTCCTGGCTGTGAGATCTCAAAACAATTGTGAAAATTTCCCAAGTCTAGCTCACAGGATGTGTTAAACATACGTTATCTCACTGCATCGGCTCCCTCCGCCTTGGAAAAGCACAAAAGGCTTTTGCGTTACTGTGCTTGTGGCTTACCTCAAGACCCATTCACCCGAGTTTCAGATCCTGACTCTACACCCTAAATTACTGCCTGCATATATTTTATATTCACTCTATGCTATAAATTACTGTCAGCACACTTCACACTGCGATATGCACTTGCGTAACCTTTCCGTGGCGTTTGCGAGGGTGGAGAAAAAAGTATTTCTGTGCTTGTTTATTAGGATTTTTAATCAGACCTTATCTGATTTGCATTTGCTTGCGTGTTTGCCCTGTTTGAATGTGTCCCACATGTGATATACAGCTACATTATCATGGCATGTGGGGTCGTATTGCTGTATTGCTCTCATGGGTCAGTCTGTCTGGTAGTTAATAAGCTGAGGAGCCATTCTACTGTCACAAAATGCCATACCCCTTATTTAACCTCTGGTATTACTCTAACCCTAAGCTCTAGTAAAACACAGTCTTGGACAAGATGATGCTATGATGGATTATGTATGTCCTCTTTGTCATGTCATTTAGTTTATCTCTTGTTATATTTGAGCGTTTTCGTTTTTGTTGCAGGCTGCTATCCCTGTCCTGGGCCCAACCTCAACCCTATAGCTCTGGGAAGCCGGTGGTTGGCCTATGCTGAGAACAAGGTAGTACAAACACCGAATATTTTAAAGAACTCCAGATGTACCAAAACATTGGTTTTCAGAAAGACAACTAAATTAGTTATTTTATTTTATATTAGATTTTTCTTTTAGTTTCGGTTTTATTATCTTTTATAAATGTATTATTTACTACAAATGTATTATTGATTATTGATGTATTGTTGAAATGCTAAATTTGCTATTACATCTGGGGTGGACTTGAATAGGCTTGGACTTGGTCCTGGTCCCCAATGCACAAGGCAATAGTGACACTAGAATAAAAAATGTTCATGATTCTGAAGCTGAAAATACAAAATTATGTTAGACTCCTATGCTTGCTCTCCTATGCTCTCTGACTAAATTTATATAAAAAAAAGATATACCCTTTTTTACTGCTAAAATCTGACATTTGGCATTATAAATACCCATAAATATTGCCTTATTTTGTTATACATTCTATTCAACATTATATATTGTAGTTTTAATGTAGTAATGTCACTGAAACTCTGGAAACTTTAGTTTTTTTTCTTCACACTTTCACTTTCAATGCAGGCATTTGTTGCATCTCTTACACAGACAAGCCTCGCACACAGACTCTCCCGTTGCTCTCCCTCTAATGCACATGCTTGATTAGAAGAAACCTTTTAAAAGGCTTTGTATAATCATACTACTAAAACAAACAAAAAAAACGCTGTGATTTAAATTATGTTTGTGCCACTCCAACGCTTATGCACTTTGCAAACACAGCTCTAATCACGAAGCGTGTCTAAATGACTATTCCCAAACTTACCGGAAATTACAATTATGTCTTCATTTACTCATCATTTCATCATTTACTCAGCCTCATGTTGCTCTCGCATATATAGATTTTTTTTTTTTTTTTACAATGACTTTTATGATTTTTTGGGGGGGATCTTTGAAGTTTTAAAATGACACTAAATTTCATAATAAATGTGATTTTTAATTAGTAATTGATTCAGTTGTGCTCCATCCAGATGTTTTTGAACACAAGAACATGGCCTGTTTGAACTCTCAGCACCTCTGATCAGTCGGACTGATTTGTTACTTGGAAACAGTACTAAGTCAAACTGCAGTTGCCTTCTAAATGTTTTTATTTCCTACGAATTGCACATATCATTATAAAGACAATGTGTGTCATATCGATAGGAGCTATCAATATAATGTGACATATTATTATTAAGTAGACCCTTGTTTTGCCGCCATTTATGTAATGGGTGCGGTTTGGTTGCCTTAGAGAGGCCAGTTGCTGCCTAATAATGGACAGATGGGACAGTGCGTCTGGGCAAAGGTAATGAGTTTCTGGCCAATGGCAGCTGAAGTGTTGAATAGGTCTGGGACAGGGACCCTAGAGGGAGTGCGCTACAGAATGGGGCTGAAGAACTGTTTGTTGTCTTAATGGCATCCTCCTCCTCCTTTTACTCACCGTGCCCGCCTGCAGACGTCCTGGCGCGGGCTGTGACAGGCCTCTGTGGGTTAATGAGTGCTGGGGAGCTGAAAGGTTCTGGATGATAATATGACTCTGTTCTGTCTCTGTTTGTGTGTGTGTGTGTAGCTGATCCGGTGTCATCAGTCCCGTGGTGGGGCCTGTGGAGATAATGCCCAGTCCTATACTGCCACTGTCATCAGTGCCGCTAAAGTAAGTGCCATGCCTGCCACACTCTTCAACACACATTATAGTGCACTCAAAAAGTATTTACACACCTAAGCCACAAATAAATATCAGATAGATAGATGGATAGATGGGTAGAATAAGCATACATTTTAAATAATTAATTTCATAAAAAAAAGTTTATTGAAGTTTTTTTTCATATTTAGAAAAATAGATATACTGCTCAAAACAAATACACTAAGAACTTACTGGTTGTCTAATGTTAATGGATAATAGCAGATGCCACATGGTTTGATATTTTGTACCTAATTCAGTGAAGTCTTTGGTGTCAAAATACTTTTTGTGGTCACATTGACTGACACTTTTGTCCACACATTGACCAACAATTTTTGCTCAGATTATTTCAGTTGTGTCTTGCTGAGAGACTTTCTTATGAGTATTATTTTGTTTTTATAAGATTAAAGCCAGCCATTCTGTGGTAAAATCTGACATTTATAACTATTGGTGCACAGTTGGCATGTTGTGCTGAGGATCCCCATTGCTTATAAAAATCATTCAACATGGTGAGGAAATGATTAGTTTATTTTAGCATTTACTTCTGGCCCATTGATTTTTAAATCTTAAAAAGTTGTCACATTAATTCATGACTATCCTCTTTACAAGACAAGAAATCAAACCATACACCTTAATGTGGCTCTTTTTCTCCTGTTATTTTTTTTTGCTCTTATTTGTGTATTTTCAGCCATTCTTTCCTTCCTGTTTGCTCTGCTCTAAATGAAGCTCATAATGTGTGCTGTTCCACTCACTTTATTCACCATACAGCATCGCAGAGCGTTCTCGACATAGTCCTTAGTGATTCAGAGACCCACTAGAGTTCATTTAGTGGTGCCAGAACCTTGGTGCTTAACCTTTCATATGGTTCCAGTCTCCTCTCCTGGTTGCTTAATTGATTTATTAAGCCCACATCTGTATTCCCCGGCCGCCGGCCTGATCACTGCCTAACGAGCGCTAACGGCTTACGTGAGAGAAGAGCCATTAGCCTTAATGGCGGTATACATCAAAAGGAGCACAGCAAAGGTTAGCAGGGAGGAAAACAAGGTTAAAAAAGCCTTGATACGCAGACAGGCCGTCTGCAGACGGGGCTGTGATTTATAACCATCTCCTCCACTCTGACACACAGTCCCTGTGCTGAGTGGCTCTGAGTGCGGCCGTCTGGGGGCCAGGGGGCCATCTCCCATCAATCCTGTAACACAATCACAAAAGGAGGGGGAGGGCGCCTTTTGCAAAATTGAATTCTTGCAAGGTACAGATTGTGTAAATGAGAGCGATGTGACCAAAAGAGAGATGTCATTGTGCTAGCCACAAGTCTGCGTGAGCGGGGTGCCCCAGGGCTCTGTTTTCAGACCTCTGCCGCTGTGAACTGTGTTTGGGGTAAGTGGATAGCACAGCTTAAGTAGGGTCTCCTCTAGTTCTCACTTAATGGAGTGAGCGTTGCTGTATGTGTGTGTCTGTCTGCCAAGGCCCCGGAGAGCTTAATCAGGCATTCAGGCCAAGCGGCAGCGTCAATACCTCGTGGCGCCTGTGTTTGTTGGGCCCTTTGGAGAATGCTCTGACAAGCCCACTAACTGACTGTGTGTAAATTGCTTTGCCCCATCAATTATTAAGAGAAGCGTTTGCCTCCTAATTGATCAACACTAATGTGTTTTCTAATCACTGCAGTTAGAGTTTTTAGTGCTAATCCAAACAGTCCCCATTGATCAGGGCTAGCAAGGGGAGGGGCGGGCGGCCGGCTGGTGGCAGACACTGTACCGACTGCTGTGCCAGAACTCGGACATCTCTTCTCAGCTCATATCTATGAGTACACACTCAAACAAACGCTAACCGTTAGCCTACACGGCTAACTCACACACCTGTCTGTTGACATTGCCTCAAGCAACACTGGATGCAAACATGTTTTTAGGTCATTGCTCAACAAAATCTCTGGATGTGGGAACATTGTTTGCGGTATTGATTTGAGTGTTGCAATAGAACTTATGGTTGGCTAGCACAAATGTGGCGGAATGAAATGTTTTTTGTCTTTTAACCCTTTGCATGAACTACTATAATTTTTTGCTTTATGATTCATTATTTTTTTCTTTTTGCTTAAGAACAAGCATAAAATTATCCCACATTTTTTTCAAAATGATGATTTTAAAAGATCTATCCATACGATAAATGCTAGTAGAATATATTCCCAGGTATACTGACTACTTTCATCAGCTGTTTTAAATTAATCCAAACATTTATATTTAATATTTAAATAAAATAATAAAGGACATAAAGAGTACAGTCATTTACAATTATGAGTAGTAATCAAAAGTTGTGGTTTGGATGTAACCTCATCCCTTAAATTGTTAACTGTGATCTGAGCATATCAAGGGTGATATCCAAGCAAATTCCAGTGTTCTTAACTACCGCTAAGTGATGCACCAAAATTTCGGCAAGCTGAAAATATTTGACAAAAAGAAGAATTTTTGGTTTCAGCCAAAAAAGTTTTGGAATTCTGAAACCATTGACCGAAACACTGACATTTAACCAGCACTTATTACTAATTAGCACTTCAAAATGGTTTGGCTAAAATATAGATATGCGGTTTGGTGCCAAAGAATTTAACTACAACTGGTTTAATTTACCATTTGGGAACATGACAGTGAACAGCATTTCAATTACCCAAATTTAATTGGTTTCATTTCATTTTTCAGATACATGAAATGTAGGTTTCTTTATATTTGTAAAAAAACAAAACAAAAAAAAACACTACAGCATTTTTATTTCTATTTCTATTGTTGTGTCTCTGTCTTCCTTTAAGACTTTGAAGACGGGCCTGACCATGGTGGGCAAGGTTGTGACCCAGCTTGCTGGTACGGTGCCATCAGGGGTGCCTGACGAGGAGGGCACTGCCCACAGTGGCACCCGCCGCAGCCCTCACCAACCTGGTGTGGTCACCATCATAGACACACACACTGTGGGAGAAGGACAGGTAAGAAACGCTCATAATCAGTATGGTTTTGCCAGGGATTGAGGTCCGAATGACGAGATTTCTAGCAGTGTTTATGGTACTTTCTTCACCCTTGTGACCTTGATCCTCAAGAACCCAGATTCATTCCTCTTTTCTCTGAGATAAATAATCCATTAATCCCATTCATAACTCATTCAGTATTAGAGCTTCTTGTGGCCCAAGGGGTTTGTCATCACCTTGTCATAAGAGCACATGCTCCACCGTTCGTTCACAGACTCCATGCCAGGCCGCAGTCTCCTGATCTCATGATTTAGCCATTTCCTGTGGCTCTTTCCCCCTTGGCTGGCACAACCGTAGACTTTTAGCATGAGATCACAGGCAGGTCATCACAGGAGCGTTACAGAAAAGTTATACCGTCCTTTTCTTTTCCATCAAGGTCTGAATATGTTGTAGGTGTGTGACACATGATCACTTTAATAGAGTACTCGGTGTAAAGGCTAGCTGTAATATTTACAGTTCTCCTGTTCAAGGATTTTTACTTGGAGAGAGGTTAAGTTGGAACAGGTTTTGCTATCCTATTGATTCTGACCCATGTAAATATATCCCTCCATTTAGTGGACTGTTAAAAATAAGATAGTTAAACCTTTGTTTAACACGTTACTCTCATTTGAATGTGCTAATTTATAAACCTGAGTCAACACTTTCTACTAAAAGAGGTTTCCTGCATTTATATCACAAGAAGCTGCGCTCCTCCCAAAGCGGACTAGTTATGTTTTCGGTGTCCACACAAAACAGATTTTGGGATTTTTACTGTCAATGCCATTCTCCCGTGACTCCAGCAGTGGTCTTGGCATTTTTTTTTTTTTTTTCCCCCATCTCCCCCTCTTCCAGTCTCAGGGGACACACCCCTACCTTCTCATCTTCATCATCCCCTCTCAGCTTTGTATTTCCTGCAGGTTTATTTGCTCTTCATATCTATCCACACACAAATTCTTTTCTGAAGCAATAGTATATTCCTGTACAGAACAACATTGTCTTTTTTCCCCCCAATAAAAGCGATCTGGTTTGTGTCACAGGGGCAGTTTTTGCAGTCTAAAATAAATGTCTGGGTTTTAGAGCAAGGCTGTTTTCTGTTTGGACTGGATCCTATTAAAAGCTGCCTTGCTCCTTAATGCAACACTCCACTAGATTTATCACTCTTCTCTCCGGCTGTCTCATGTCTGGGCTTGGTTATAATCTCTTTCATGAGCAAACTTAACAGAGGACCACTGACCAGAGAATAGCCCTGTATGAGCAACACAACTCTCCTTTTTCTTTCTTTCTTGCTTTCAAGTTGATAGGCTATTTGAAACCATTGGAATTTATATAGAATTTTAATATTTACATAATTTTGTGTTTTGTTTTGTATTTTTTGTAATTTATTTACATTTACATTTATGCATTTGGCAGACGCTTTTATCCAGAGCGACTTACATTGCATTTCAAGGTACACATTTACGTTCTCATCAGTTCTTGCTTTCCTTGGGAATCGAACCCATGATCTTGGCATTGCCAACGCTCTGCTGTTTGTGCTACAGGAAGGATGTATTTATTTAATTTTAATACATTTAATTAATTGATTTATTAATTGGTTTGATTAAATAAAGAAATTGTTAACATTCTTTCTCTATCCCTCCCTTATTTTTCCTTTATATTTTTCTTGTCGTGATGCACATAAAGGGATGATTACAGTTCTTTTTAACTGGGAGCTATTAATCTCCTTTTGGTACCAAAACGTGAAGAGACACTATAGAGTTTCCTCCTGCTGTGTTTGTTTTAACTCCTTCAACATGTCACTTTTTCTTCCTGTCTGAAACAATACTGTTGCGCTGTGGGCTTTGGCAGAATATGCACATTGATCACAGTGGTCATGTGGGTTTGTCTTTCTTTCTTTGAAGCAGTGTTCATAAAACACACCAACATATTTGCGGACATCTTTTAAAAATGTAGTCAAATTTATTTCAATTCCACAATGAAACTATTTTGCCCCACCATACGTCATTTAAAGCTAAAATCTTCCATTGTGGATTAAAGTAGACACAAGGATAATTGTTAAGCACCCGCAAGAGGGCAACATGTTTAGGGTTGAATGACATGACGGGGAATGGATGATGATCATAAAAATAGACGTGGAAACTTTTTCAGCCCATTTTTTGCTATTCGAGCACAACTTAAAACGCACTTGGTTTTAAACAAAATGCCAAAACACATCTTTGTTTAACTGATTAAATCTTATGTAACCGTGAAGATCAGATTGCACTGGCCATTGTAGAGCCAATGACCAGCTATGTGTCTAAAACACTAAGACGTGAGGTAAACAAGAAGTCAGCCTTTATTTATGTGGCTTCATCAACTTACTGTAGCTTTATTGTGTGTATGTTTCAGGTTCTTGTTAGCGAGGATTCCGATGGAGAAGGAGTGATTGCACATTTTACAGCACATGATAAGCCTATATCCTGCATGGCGTTTAACCCAAGTGGTAAGTGAACACCTCATTGTGATGCCTCACTGAGTTCTACCAAAGCACAAAACTCCAGGAACTTGTTGGCAGGCGTTTACATGGTCTTAAAGGGAACAAGTTGTGGATGTTCCCTGCCTTATTGTATTAAAACTTTGAATTACAATGCAGATGCATTCTGCTCACTACACTGAGTTCCTTCCCCAGTCAACCCAGACCTTTTAGACCAAGATACAATGGTGTTGACCTGCTCTGACAGCCGACCTGGTACGACACGGATACATGGTGGTTAGCCAATCATAACAGACTGCTAATTCATTTAGAAGTCTTAAGGGTATAAAGCAGCTTGTGTGAATAGATCACCTAAATTAAGATTCCATTATATTTTACTTATCTTTTCTGTTGTTCCAAACCTGTATGTTTTCATGCTTAAATAGAACACAACCGGATGGTGTAAACCAACCCGATTTTACGACCAAATCGTACGAATTCGACGAATGATTAAAAAGTGGCTAATTCGTAACAATGCATACGACCTCACTCGTACGAATTGGTACGATTTTGCTAAATCGTACATATTTTACGAATTGGCCAATTCATCTGAATTCGTACGAATGACCTACCCCTTACCCCGCCCCTAAACTTACCCATCACGTGGGTTTAGACAAATCGTACGAATTCGTACGAGTGAGGTCGTACGAATTAGACACTTTTTAATCATTCATCGAATTCGTACAAATTGGTTGTGAGATAGCATAGGTTAAACTGGAATATTGACTGCTGTTTTCTAAATAATAGAAGTGTATTGGACTCTTGCATATATTCTTTTGAAGTTACACAAATTAGGGTATACAAAAAAAATTGGGGGGTGAACTATTCTTTTGATTATAGTCATTTAAAACCAAAGTTTGACTTTTCTTGTGCTGGAAGGCTTGTATAATATTATAAGTAGACTTCAGTGGAAAAATAGAATGATAGAGAACTGTAAAGTATGGTCAATTTAAGAAGAAGATGACGGTGTCAGTCATGTCACCTTTGTGCATGTAACCTCATCTTGTTCCCCAAGCGTTCCTGTCTGCTTGGCCGTTGAGATAATGTGAGACCTGTTGTTCTGAAAAGCAGCCTTTGTGTGTCTTTTGGAGAAACTACCCTCTAGCACATCATTCACTGTCATTTTTTCCCTCCTTTTCCTCTTTATCTATCCTTCTCTTTCTCCTTTCTTGTCTCTCTTTAACACATAGTGGAATATTTTATTCTCAAAGATCTTGTTCATGTCAGTCTCTCCTGAAGTGTATTGAGGTAACAAAGCCCTCTGTCTCTTTTGGATGAAATACCCCAAGCACTGATCAGGTACAATGTCCTCACTCTGTTCAGAAGGTGTGGGACAGGTTCATAACTCTTAGAACCTTCACTCAGCCACGTCACAACACGCTTTAGGCTTGTTGGTTATTCATTACCTGTTGCCTTTTCCACCTTATTTAATAAAATCTTTTTGAGGAATGACACCATCAGGACATTATGCAGGCAGGATTCGAATGCTATTCTGCTTGAGTACCATGACTTGATGCGTCTGGAGCAACTAGGACATGGCTCCAACAATTTCTTGGATTTTATGAAAAAAAAGAGTAAAACCAAGGCTGGAATGTCCTCAACCTGACCTTGAACGAGCGTCTTGGCTCATTTTGATAGGCAGTTATCTGATCACTTTTTAATTTTACATATAGTCATGTTTGTTTCTCCGGATATCCAGTCCAGTCACAATGGCTCATTGTGAGATGTGTGTTGCAGATTGAGGGCCCTTCTTATAAGAAGGTGCTGAAAGCTGCTGATAGCCATTGCCCTTAGTGAAATCCTTCACCTATGTGTTCTTACTAATGAACAATCCATTGGGGATGAGTCATTGTATACATAAGTGTACACCTTCGGGGTTCAGATGTTTTGTGCACCGTATTACTGAAAGATTATAAGGAAATGTTGCATATCTTAGTAGATCAAAACATTCCTGATGGATGTTCTGTCTCAACCGCACAATATTGAACTGATGCCAAACCATGCCACAAAACCCGGGCTTGCCAGACTGAGATTGAGTTTGGGAGCTGTGATATTATAAATGGGATTTACGCAAAGAGTAGTTTAGAGCAAATAAATAAAACTTTTGAATTTAATTTTTAGAAAATAAATTATAAAACAGTGTTGACATTCACTTTGACATTCTACATTTTTAATAATATTTACTGTTATTTTATATATGAATTGTTATAATTATAGCGCTTTACTGTTCTCTTTTGGGAAGAAAAATGGCTAAATACTAAGCTTTTATTTGTATTAACCACAAATTATTGGTCAGGGAATTAGCTAAATGTATGCAAATGCACTACTTAAAAAGCCATTGTTGTCTCAGAAAAACATCAAATACAGAATTACGTTTTTGGCAGAATATGGGATCTTGTGTGTGGAGTGATGAACCACAATGAAACATGAGTTGTATGATGATGCTCCAGAGTGGTGTCTTCGGAAATCTGCTGAGAAATCTAATAATAAATGCATCTTTACCACCGTATCACAAGCATGGAGGAAGAGCTGTCATTGTGTGGGGAGTCTTTTTAGCTGCTGGTATTCGTGAGCTACTTCACTGAGAAAAGTCATTTATTTTTTTGGAGCACAGGAGGATGTGGCTTGTTTCTCACAATTGAAAAGTTATCTAAAGTTTTTTTTTCCAACAAGACAATGCTCCTGCCCAAATTGCAAAGAAAACCAAGAAGTGGCTTGAGAACAAGTCCATCTGGCTCATATTTTGGCCTGGTCAGAGTTCAGATTTGAGCCCTATAGTGAATATTTACTTAATGTTTAATCACATTTTTCAACTATGAACAGTTTGAAGCCATCAATGCTGAGTGGAACAACACCAACTCTTCTTCCTGGAAAAAGCTGTCTGCAAGTTTACCCACATGGCTTAAACATTTAAAGAAAACAAAAGGGAAGTCAATTCAGCGCAGTTATTTTATCTACATTATTTGTGCAATTCTTACTAATTTCCTGACCAGTGATTTGTGATTTAGACCACTAAATATTTTTACATTTTTGGCCTGGCCCAATTTTTTATTTTTTAATTGAGAAAAAGTGATCTTCTCTGACTGAGCATTTTTTTCTCTATGTGTAAAACAAAGGGCTTTGTTTGCTTTTAGTAATTGTAGTTTTTTGTGTTAATGTATCATATCTAAGTTCTTTAATCTCGGTTTGGAAACCCAACGTTCTTGTTTTTTCAGCATTATAGAACTGTTGCATTCTGCATTTTGCTTTTTTTCTAATTTAAGATGAGTGAAGAAAATGCATTGAATTAAACCGTTCTAATTAGATTGTACTAACCTGGCTTTGGAGATAACATGATGGTCTCTAGGTGGCGCTATTGTTTAACCTTTAGACCTCAGTGTAGTGAGCCACCTTTTCCCCATCAGCATGTGTTGAGCAGAAGGTGTAGGTGAAGTCATTGTCCCACCACCACAACTGCACTGGGACTCTCAGCCCAGAAGTCCTTTTATCTTTGTGAGTCAGTTAGAGAAAAGTGCTATAGATCGCAGAGCAAAGCAAACATACAGTCAACAATCAAGGCCCGCTCAGGGACGTTACTTCTACAAATATTAGTGCAAATGTGTGTTTTTCTTAGATCATCAAAGAATTGAAGGTCTCCGTAAAAACAAATTTGACCACATAACAGTCATATTGATCTGAAATGCTTCAGAGAGTCAGTAGAGACTTATCTGAATTGTGTGCTTAATAAGGACGGTGTGAAAGGAAGTGTGTGAGACATATTTTCCAGCAAAAGTGTGTTTGTGAATTTATAGCTTTTTTTTTTTTAGAAAGTTACATTGTATTTAATTATTATATATTTTTCTAAAGAAAATATATTTCTTTCTGACACCATTTTTTTCATAGTTATATAAAATGTTTTTGAAAAAAGTGTCATGATCACCAATGACAAAATTTTAGATTGTAATTAATTCATGTGATGATGGATTTTTCAGTATCATTACTCCAGTCACATATTCTAATATCTCAAGAAACATTTCTTACTATAACAATGTTAAAAACAGTTGTGCTGTTTAATATTTTTGTGGAAACCATGGTTTTCCCCCAGTTTTCACTAATGAATAGAATTTATTTCAAATGTAATCTTGTTGTAACTGATTATTATAAATGCCAATTTAATGCATCCTTGCTGATTAAAACTATTAATATCTTTCAAAATAAAATCTTTTGTTTTTTGAACGGTTGTAAAGATTTAATTGGGTCAGTGAAATTATAGAGTAGAAAGTACAAATCTAACCAGCCTAACTGAAAAATACTTACCTTTCTATGAGAATCACTTTTCATGAGTTTTAGTTCACTCTATCTAATGTGAATGGTTGGTGTAATGTTTTAAGTTACTCTTTCTCTGAAGATTGTTCCGGCCCAGGGAGGCCCCAGCCCCGGTCCCTCGAGTGCTGAACCCCCTTTGTCAGGCGTCCTCTGCCCTCATGTGGAGAGGGCTCTGGGGCGACTTGTTTTAGATAACAGCGGGGCGCTGTAAACTTCAAACAATTAAACCTTCACCTGTCAGCTTTATTCAGAAATAATGGGATGTGTCTGTTATCACCTCATTCGCTCGAGCATAAATCGAAGGGGCTATAATAATTGTTTTGAGTTATGAAATTGTTCGGCACCAGGAAGGCTGGAAGAAATACCTGTCTTCCATGATAAAGAAAACAGTCTCCAGATATGCTGACCAATAAGGTCAGGCTGAGCATTCCCCAAGACCGGTGTTCACATCCACGCTGTAATTTACGTTCCTGACATCATTAACATATGATCAAAAACAGCTCTTTGAGATTTGCAAGAAATCCCCTCTCAGCACTGTGAAAGAAACGTGAACGGCAAATTGATTTTAAAGTGAGAAATTTAGCCTCGTTCGCTTAGCCTGACTTATCTGTCCAAAATTATCTATGTTAAAGCCACTGGCAAGTGTCATTCTGACCTCAGGGCTG